GTCCTCCCACCCACCAGCCCTCTCCTGGGTACATGGCCAGCATACAGCCGTAACATCGCCCCCAATTCAGAGCACCCAGAACAATGCTCCATTTCAGCTAACCATTGCATGGACCTTGTGGAACAATCTCCAGCCATGGCTTGCCCTTTTCTCCGAAATCCCTCTTTTTTGTGCTTTTGGGGTCCTTAGAGGTTAACCAGACCAATGGTCCCCCAACTTGTTTGAGCCAGGATCCCTTTGTTCAAATAGCAATCTTAAATGAAGTCTCAACATACACAGGGACTGGGGAGGATGATGCTAAAGGGACTTTCGGTGTATCTGCAATGTTCTAGTTCCTTACAAGAAGAATATATTAGCATATTTCCTGCATAATTAAAAATTATTATTTTATAAAGTCTCATATGTAAAGCAGACAGAAGCGGAGCCGCTCTGGCTGAAGCCTTCCACCCACTCAGTCCCACCTCCCTATTCACCACTGGGTGCCCTGGGGCGCCACCTCAACCTGCCCAAACTCGGCAAAGCACAGTTTGAGAATGCTAGTTTTACAAATGAGGAAACTGAAAGCCAGACAAGTTTGGTGCTTTGGCCAAGCGCCCAGAGCCTGATTCATGCCAGGGCTCAAACTTGAACCTGGATCTCCTGACTCCCATTTTAGCCATTCCTGATATATTGTCAAATTCCCAGAAGATTGCTATTAAAAGGACCAGGCTATCACCAGAGAGAGGCAGCCCATGAAAACCCAGGAGCTCCACAAACATGTACGTGCTAATCAACTTCTCAAAAGAGTGCTTGGCTTCTTGGAACATGGTGCCCAGAACTTGAAGAGGATCCTCTGCTCCACTCCATAGGAGTGTGGAAAAGAAATGGCAAGAGCATGCACCCTCTCAGACAAGAAAAGTCAGAATTTGAGCTGTCACAGTGCTGCTACGAGCCCTAGAGCACCTTAATGCTAACATGAGAAAAGGTGTGCGCCTTCTTCTAGGCAGACACAGTCCCATGCAGGGTGCTGGCTCACTGAGTGGAAAGTGGGCTAGATTTCTGCCCCCTCTTCCCCCCTCCACCAGGGATCCTTGTACAGGACAACCTGCCCAACACACGTGGCAGCCCTGGTCATGGTGAGAGTGGGAGGTGCTTCGAGTAGAGGAAATTGAAGGAGAAAGAGGGCTTTCACTCTTCATTCATTCATTCATTTCTTCCGTAAATAATTACTAAGTGTTTACTGTACCAGGCACATAGGTGCAGGATAGAGTACATGAGCAAGGGGGTAGGCCAACTGCCCTCCAAGATCTTACAGCCTTGAGAGGGCTGAAGACAAAGCCGCAGACAATAACAGCACAGTGTGGTACATGTCAGCATAGGTGAGAAAAAGGGGTCTATGGAATTATCAGTGAGGAGGCTTTAGGCTGCAAGTAAGAGCAACTCTACTAAAAAGGGGTTTGAGCAGTGAGCAACGAGAGGGTAACCTAACAAGAACTCTGGAGGTAAGGTGCCGGAGGATGGAATTCAGCAGTTCAATTATGTCATCAAGAACTCAGACTCTTTTCAACTTTCATCTCCACCAGCTTCAGTGAGGGGGCTTTTGTCCTCACTTATGCCCCTCAAGGCGGCAGCTGCAGCTCCCAACGTGATGTCCTCATGTCACCATGCCTGATGATTGGAAAGGTAGTACTCTTGTAAATTTTTTTTTTTGCTCAGGGAAGACAGCCTTTCCCAGAGTGCTCTGGCAGACACGTTCACACTTTCACTATGAGGTACGCTGGGAAAGCAAGAATTTGGCATTTTCACCTCTAAAGTGGGAGGCAGGCTCAAACAGCAGGAAAGGAGCTGAGAGTGGGAAATAGTTCTTGGGTAGGCAACCACCAGTGCCTGCCACAGGAGCACAAAGGAGGGACACAGAACCTAGATTTGAAGGTGAGCATCTGTGGTAGGCAAAAATCACGCCCTCCACCCCCCCCCCCCAAGATGACCATGCTCTAATGCTCAGAACCTGTGAATAAGATGAGATTATCCCAATTATCCAAGTGGAATGAATGTAATCACATGAGCCCTTATAAGTCAAAGAGATGCAGTAGGGGGTAAGTCAGAGACCTTTGAAGCATGAGAAGGATTTGAGATGTCATTGCTTGCTTGCACATGGAGGGACCGTGTATTAAGGAAGTGGGGACCTCAATCCTACAACCCTAAGGAACTGAATTCTGCCAACAACCTGCATGAGTTTGGCAGCAGATTGTTCCCCAGAGTCTCCAGAAAGGAACGCAGTGCTGCCCTGTGAGACACCAAGCAGAGAACCCAGCCAAGCCTATCTTGACCTCTGACCTTCAGATCTGCAAGGTAATCAATGAGTATTGTTGTAAGCAGCTCAATGTATGGTAATTTGTTGCAGCAGCAGTAGAAACTAAAATAGGATCCCGAATAAGAATGTATCCATGTTGTGACTTTAAGAATTAGGAGGAGGGGCCAGCCCCTAGGCCTAGTGGCTAAGTTCGCCCACTCTGCTTCAGCGGCCCAGGGTTCGGATCCTGGGCACAGACATGGCACCGCTCACTAGGCCATGTTGAGGTGGTGTCCCACATGTCACAACTAGAAGGACCCACAACTAAAATATACAACTATGTACTGGGGAGATTTGGGGAGAAGAAAAAAAGCAGGAAAAATAATTGGCAACAGTTGTTAGCTCAAGTGCCAATCTTTTAAAAAAAAAAGAATTAGGAGGAATTAGCAGATAAAGGGAATAAACATGAGTATAAGTCTGGACATGTTTGGAAATCAGCAGAAAGCTCCTTTCAGCTGAAGCATAGTGTGGGGGAAGAAGAGGAAAGGAGAAAGATTAAAAATAAGGATAGGGAGATAAGTAGGAACTGAATCAGGTGGGTCTTCAAATGTCAGGCTTGGGTTTCATCATGATGACAACAGGAAGCCATTGAAGGGTTTTAAGCAGAGAAGTGATGGGGTCAAACTTCTGTTTTTACCAAGTCACTCAAGTTGTTAGATGGAGAACAGATTGGGAGGTGGCAAGAGAGAAGGCAAGTAGACCATGTAGAGGTCACAGTAGTGGTATGGATGAGAGATTGTGACAGTTTGGACTGGGAAAATGCTGGTGGGAATGGAGATGAGAGGACCACTTTGAAAGAAATGAAGGAGAGAATTAGCAGGACTTATTGACTGCACATGAGTGGTAAGAGAGACAAGAGTCAAGCGTGAAGTCCATTCATTTATTCATTCAACACATGGGTATTTGCACCTTCCCTAAGTACATAGTCCAAGGGCTGAACTAGACACAAGATGTTGCCTCCGCAAAAACACACATAGTCCGTACTTAGTGGAACTTAGAGGTTTCTGACTTGATCAACGTGGTCACTGGTGGTACCAGTTACTGAGAGAAGAGGAGCAGGCTTGAGTGGGGAAGGAACGAAGATGATGAGCTCCGTTTTATATCTGTGGACATATATATGGGATGACCAATGGAGGTATTCGATAAGTCTTGGATATGTGAGTCTAGAGCCCATGAGTGAAATTTGGGCTGGAGATAGGAGCTGAAGATTACCAGTATATCCAAGAAAACTACCTTCAGTCAGTCAGAAGACAATGTCTATGAGGAGAGGGGTTAAGCCTTCAAAAGCTTGCACCTCCACCTTTTTGCCTCAGGACCAACCCTGAATGAGAGACTAACTGAAAACTGGGACTGTCTTTTTCAAGTCATGCTGGCTGAACCTGGTGCCAAGAAGCCCATGGGTGCTCAATAAAGCTTAATTGAATGAAGGAATGACTCAAAAGGCCAACAAATGAAACCCAGAGGGCAATTCTCTCTCAGATTATTTGCTATAAAATAGAGGAAACATTTACTCTCCTCTTTTTTAAGTAGCTCCGCTGCCCCAGAATGCAGTCCCCCATGATTTGGATGCCTGAGTTTAATCTTAAATTTTCACTTAAATTACTTGCTCACTTTCAAAGTGGAATCTCTCCTTGGATGACTAATGCTCCCATCTTGGGAGGACTAAGTAAGACGTCGGATCTTCAGTGTTCCCAAATGAGCAGACCTTTGATGTCACCAGGCTGGGGTGGTTGTGGAAGAATAGGCGGTAAGGAAACAGGGTATGGCATCCACGTGTGCACTTGAGGGTTTCTCATCACTGGAATTTATATACGAGTAATAGAGAGAAACCAATCAAAGGAACCATTTCACATCCCACGAGAAACCTTTGAGATTGGAAGCCAGGAGAAGTAAGAAGTGTGCGTAGTGGTTGGGAATATGCTGGTGTCAGACCGCAGAGGTTTTAACCCACTCCAGCACTTACCAGCTGTGTGACCTAGGGCAAGTTACTTACCCACTCAAAGCATCAATTCTCTCAGCTATAAACTGGAGGCAATAATAGTATCTACTGCAAAGGACTTGGGTGAAGATGAAATGAGATAAGACATGAAGAATTCAACATAGGACCTTGCATATTGTAAGTTCTCAATAAATGCTAACTAGTGTGTTAGTTTTCTAGGGCTGATATAATAAAGTACCACAAATCAGGTGTTTAATAAACAACAGAAATATATTGTCTCACAGTTGTGGAGGCTGGAAGTTCAAGATCCAGCTGTCGGCAGGGTTGATTTCTCCTGGGGGCCATGGGGAGCATCTGCTCCATGCCTCTCTCCTAGCTTCTGGTGGTGTGCGGGCCGTCTTTGATGTTCCTTGGCTTCTGTTGTATCACCCTAATCTCTGCCTGAATCTTCACGTGGCGTTCTCCCTGTGTGCCTCTCTGTGTTCAGCCTTCCCGTTTTTGTAAGAACACACTGGAGTAGGGTGCCACCGTACTCCAGCATGACCTCATCTTAATGTAATTACATCTACAGTGATCCTATTTCTAAGTAAGGTGACATTCTGAGTACTGGGTGTTAGAACTTCAACATATGAATTTGGGAGCGCAACACAATCCAACCCATAAGAGTTAGGATTGTTATTATTCACATTATTATTGTGCTCATCAGATTACCAAGTAAACATACCCATCTTTCTTTTCAACTTTTTATTTTGAATGCACTTCAGACTTAGAAAAAAATTGCAAAAAACAGTATACAGAGTTCCCTTATAGCTATTACTGGCTTCCCCTGATGTAAACAGCACCCATAAACATAGTACAATTATCTAAACCAGGAAATTAACATGGGTGCAATACTATTAACTAATCCATAGGCCTTATTCAAATTTTGCCACTTGTCCCACCAATGTCCTTGATCTGACCCAGGAGCCAATCCAGGATCCGACACTGCATCTGCTTTCATGTCCCCATAGTCCCTCAAAACTAAGACAGTTCCCCGGTCTTCCTTAATCATTTGTTATCTTGACATTTTTGAAGAGTAGTGATCAGTTATTTTGTAAAATGGCCCACAATTAGGGTTCATCCAATGTTTCCTCATGATTAAATTCGGGTTCTGCATTTTTGTCAAAAATCCCACACCAGTGATATTGTGCCCTTCTCAGGGCATCGTATCAGGAGGTACACGGAGTCGATGTGTCTCTGGATGCTGACGTTAACTTTGATCACTGGTTCAGGTGGGGTCTGCCAGGTTTCTCCACTGTAAAGTTACTATCTTTCCCTTTAGGACTGATGTATCTGGCGGAGAGATACTTTGAGACTATGTTAAGATCCTCTTCCTCATCACACTTTTACCCACGAATTTTACCGCATGCATTGATGATACACACCTGCAACAAGTTTTGCCTAATGGTCATTTCCTATTTCCATCATTCTTTCTAATTTATTAGTCTGAATTCTACCATAAAGTCTTTCCCTTCTTCGTATATTCTTTTTTAATAAAACAGCCCTAAATTTGAGGTTGTCAGAGGCCTCGTGTTGACTCTCGAGGGCCCTTGGTCTGATTCTTGGGTCTCCCCAGGTCTGAGGTGTTCACTTGTGTGCCTGCATAAAGGGAAAAAAATCTCCTTTATTTTGCGTTTAAACCTCATGATTTTAGTTCTCATTAATAGAATCTTTGAGGGAAGCATGTGCTAAATGCTTTACGGGAAAGACGATGTTTAAATTATTCAAGAAAACGGCTTTTATACAATTTGGATGTACCCGTTTACACATAAAAATTAATGCTAATTAGATATAATTTCTATCTATTCATTAAAACAAATCCCAAAGCATTCTAGAAATCCTCAGTTAGCCTAATATTATTCTGGGCACTCGAAAACAAAATTCTTTTCTTAAGAAAGAAAAATCATGACGGTCTTTTATGAAAACACATTTGCACTACTGGTGGGGCCTTCTTGCTCCCCTTTTCCAGCTACCTTCCTCCTTTCCTTCTCCTGATCAATCAGGCATTCATTCAGCAACCACTTACTTCGAACATGCTGTGCACCAGCCTCTTCTCTAAGTGCTGGGGCCAAGCGTGAACAAAACCAACCTGAACCCTTGTCCACTGGAGCTTCCAGTTTCACAGGGGGAGATCAACTACAAACAAAATAACAAATCTTGTAAGTGGTAGCCACTTTGAAGAAACACGAGGCAGGGCGAGGGAAGAGAGAATAACAGGGCAAAGGAGCCTGTCGTTTAGATAGCGTGCACAGGGAAGACCTCAGCTGAGGTCGGGTGACATTCTACAGAAAGCTGAAAGAGGAAGTGAGAGAGAAGCCCTGTAGCTGGGGGAGAGGGGAGGAGGGAACGGAGTGGGGAGAACGTTCCAGGAAAAGGAACAGCAAGGTTGGGCTACATTTGCTAGTGGGAGGGGTAGTTGTGTGTCTGTCTCCAAGCCGGTCCACTTTTGATATATATACACAGCCTTCTTTTGCTAAGTCTTAAGGTTTTAGTGCCTTCCAATTTACCTGCCCACTCCCACTTCATTTTTTTTAACATGTAGTTTTGAATATCTTTCCTCATCTGGAAGAATACTACATGCATTTTAGAAAGATAGATAGATAGATAGAAGATAGATATTAATATAACAAAGATATGTATATAGAGAGAGTTGACTTCCTTTTTTGATGATTGACAGCTGACAGTTTTTGAGCCTCCCTCTGCCTCTTCCCTTCAGCCCCACACCCACCTCTGGGCAAGCTGATGGGAAAGCCTGGAGCTTCCTCCTGTGGGACAACATCAGAGACAAATTTTGAGTGAAGGTTCGCAACACACACACACACACACACACACACCCCCTTCCCTGTTCAATACAGTAGGCACTAGCCACATGGCTACCGAGCATTTGAAACATGGTGAGATGTGCTGTGCGTGTAAAATAGATGCTGAGTTTCAAAGATAATATGAAAGAATATAAAATATCCCATTAATAATAATAATAATTCCGATTATATGTTGAAATGATATTTTGTACATATTAAGTTAAAGTACTACTAAAATTCATTTCATCTGTTTCTTTTAACCTTTTTTAATGTGGGTACTAGAAATGTTTAAATTACATACGTGACTTTATTTGTGGTTCACTTTCTGTTTCTTTTGAACAGCACTAGCATATACCAAGGTACTAACAAGGAGTATATCTTAGTTTTGGTTTTTTCTAATATCCTTCTTTTGACTTCTCTGTATTTTTCGAACATGTCTTTAAAAATAAAAAGAGAGTTTCACGCAGTTGTTGTCAGTGGAGGTAGGAGGGCTGCTTACAGGCTGGGAGGAGGAGAGATTGCTCTGCTCAAAAAGTCCAGAAAGTAAAAATATTTTCCAATCAGCCATAATTCAAAAACTGAAATCCAGGGGCCGGCCCGGTGGTGTAGAGGTTAAGTTCACATGCTCCCCTTAGGCAGCCCAGGTTTTGCAGGTTCAGATTCCGGGTGCGCACCTACACACCGCTCATCAAGCCATGCTGTGGTGGCATCCCACGTGCAAAACAGAGGAAGATTGACACAGATGTTAGCTCAGGGACAATCTTCCTTACAAAGAAAACAAACAAACAAACAAAAACTGAAGCCCACCCCCTGTCCACACATGCCCTGTGTGGGACAGGCAGCCTGGCTGTAAGCTTTAGAGGAAATGACTTTCTACCGTGATTCTAGAGTTTGCAAATACACTGATGTGCACTGGACTCTGAGCCCTGGGTCCCTAGATGTAGAACCTGCTAGATCTGATGTGCTGCTGTCATAAAAAGCATGAGGCATGGCTGGCCCCCACTCTCCTGAGTGCATCCCTGGGATGGCCATTTGTGCTTGACCCAATCCATGCTCTACCCTATATAAGCCTTCAGTATTCAGACCCTTGTTCACAAACCAGGAGGACCAAGCTCAGGATGGCTGTCCAGGCACAGACCAGCAGGCTTTGCAGGGTAATGTTTTGGAACAAATTGTGCAGACTTAGTGATGCAAGAATGCTAGCGTACTGAAGAGGTCAGAATTCAGAACATGCTTGCTGCTCCAGCAACTGAGTTTTATTGCTATTAACTCTAAACCCAGCCACTTGTACTTAGGCAGCCAGCTCTTTCTACCAGAAGAAGGACGGACAGTAAGAGAAGCGGGAGCAGGGGAAAAAACCAAGTGGATTTAACTGGGCCATCACATAAAAACTGCAAATGTCATATCGCTTTTCAGAAAAAGCGCCGTGTGCTTTCAAATGATTTTGCTATATATTTTTTCTTTACACAAATAAATTTTGAAAATTAAATCTGAGTGATTTCAATTCTGTAAATTTTGAAACTTTACTGAGTAAGAGAAATACTGAGTACTGACCCTTGAAAGGCGAGTATAGAGAAATAAGCAATTTGTGAGTTTACATTTGGCCCTAGACCCACAAAAAGGAAAAAGTTTCACTTTTAAATAATGAAAAAGTTACTCAAATATACAAACTCGTATTTGGCTTCACTCTTCTAACTCTATAAACTGAAGCCATCATTAGCTACTAAAAATGAATACCAAGGTTTGTTTGTTTTTTTTTAACAGCTATAATGAGTGCAATTCACATACTATGCAAATCAGTACTTCTGTTCTTTTTACTGCTGAACAATATTCCGGTGCCTTATGATATTTTATTTATCCATTCATCAGTTGATGGATATTTGTGTCGTTTCCACTTTTCGGCTATAATGAGTAATGCTGCTACGAATATTCATGTATCTAGGTATAATTTTAAACTTAGGTAATTCTTCCTTCATGGCTAGATGCATCAAGGAAAGTGAGTATAAAGCAAACTTCTGCAAAGCAAACTTTGCTTTATCAGTGACTGTCACCATAAATCATGTTTTCCCAAGGAAAACATTCCCTAACAACCTGATTTGGAAACAGCAAGAAAGCCCCTCCTAAAATTGTTCCGTCTTTTAACAGATTCAAACACACACACATTTGTTGCATGCCTACTAGATGCAACATGCTATTTGTGGTGGACTAATAATTTTGAAATATTAAACCTTTTTCTTTATATTTCTTTACACCTCTTGCTCCTCCCTCCATTCATTTATTCATTGCCTCAGGGAATGGATAACTCAGAGAAAAACAGACAACATAGTAACTGGCTTTGGCTTTTTTTTTTTTAAGGATTTATTACCCAGTCACTTTGAGTCATTCACTTTCTTTTTTTATTTTTTTAAAGATTGGCACCTGAGCTAACATCTGTTGCCAATCTTCTCTTTTCTTCTTCTTCTTCTTCTTCTCCTGAAAGCCCCCGAATACACAGTTGTCTATTGTAGTTGTGAGTGCCTCTGGTTGTGGGATGTGGGACGCCCGCCTCAGCATGGCCTGATGGGCGGTGCCATGTCTGCACCCAGGATCCCAACCTCTGAAACCCTGGGCCGCTGAAGCAGAGCGTGTGAACCCAACCACTTGGCCTTGGGGCTGGCCCCTGGCCTTGGCTTTTGAATCTCAAAAGTCAGGCAATAAATTTGGGAACATAGGTGATGAGTTAGATCAAAGCTTCCTGTCCTTCTGCACCCCAACTAAATTACGTTCTTCTGGAATTGAGGAAGAGGGAGTGTAGGAGGAAAAATGAGCCAAGGAGGGGAACGTGAGAGAACTCCATGAAGGTCTGTGAGATCAGAGAGCAAAGTGAACAAATGCTTCACTTCTTAGGTGGTGCCCACGAGAGACGCCAAGATTTCAAAGAAATGGCTGTGTGGTGTGTCCAGGCAGAGAGAACCTACACAGCCTCCTAGCTTCACCTTCTGAGAAGGTGGCAGGGTGACCTTATGCACTGAGAGGGGCTCTGCAGGAGCATAGAGTTTTAGCTCCACTTAGTGTCTCAAGGCTGACAGAAGCTCAGGAATTCTGTGCTTTCAGCAGAAGTATGGACATAATGGGGAGCACCCCGGGATCTGACTTGGAGCATGGCATGATGTAGCAGTGACCAAGGTCCAGAGCAGATTTTGGAGACCTTAGCAGATACTAAGATGGCTAAGTGACAATCCAAAACCAGACACCTCCCCATCTCGATCCCATGCCCCCAGTGTCTTAGCATAACCTAAGACCCCAGCACTTAGACCCAATCCTGGGGAAAGGGTAGGGAACTCCAAATTGAGCAAGATTAAGTTTCTTCTACTTAAGTTTCTACTACTTACTTAGAATAGGGGCTCTTAAAAGAAATCTTCTTATGGAAAAATATAAGCATATTTCTTCAGTAAATGATCCGAGATTTGTACATGTGGGTTTTTTTTTTTTAAGAATATTTCCATGATACCCCGAACGTGGCTCCTATGTTTTCAAAGTTCTTGTTCTCTGGATGATAAGATTTTATCCCTTTTCTAGAGATGGCCTACCTGCTCTCATTGGCTTCAAAACTTTGCTGCCTTCCTGTCCTTGGCTATGACCTCCCCTCACCCTCCTCCCTACTATATTAGGTCCTCCTATAATACAAACCTCATACGTGGAGTTATTTGTTTAATGCCTGTAATCTTTAATGGACTGTAAAGGACCATATCTGTCTTATTCACCCAGCACTTAATGCAATGTCTGATACAAAATAAGCTCTCAATAAATGGCTAAATAACTTTTTCCTACAGCAACACACAAGTGCACAGAATATATGTAGAAGGATGTTTATTGCAGCAATGTTGGTAATAATATAGATTCAAACTAAATGCCCATCAATAGGGAAAGAGTTAGTAGATTAATTAGAGAACCTCTGTAATATGGAATAATGCGCCTAAGCAAAACAATCAGAGAAAGAAAAAGAATCTTGCAATTTATTTCAAAGTCGAGTTAGATACTATTCCTGAATTATGTCCTGCCTTAGACAATCGATGCCATTGCCTTTCTCTCTATATCTCATAGATGACTGATTTGATGCTATTCTTTGAGAGAGTCAAGTTCAAAATTTGAAATTCTCCATACTCTGAGTTCTTACAAGGGCCCTCATGATTTAAGAAGATTGTAAGCATTTATCAGGATACCCATTGGTTATCACCAATGATTATCACCATCATCATCACTGACATTTATTGAATGCTTACTATATATGTTATCTTATTTTGAATGCACATAACTACCCTGTGAAGTAGGTGTTTTTTTGTTCTTTGTTTTGCTTTGTTTTCTGGTGAGGAAGGTTGGCCCTGAGCTAACATCTGTGCCAATCTTCCTCTATTTTGTATGTGGGACACCACCACAGCATGGCTTGACAAGCAGTATATAGGTCCATGCCTGGGACCCAAACCCGTGAACCCTGGGCTGGCAAAGCAGAGCACGCTCACCCAACCACTATGTCACTGCACTGGCTCCTGAAGTAGGTGTTTTTATGCCAATTTTACAGTTTAGGCTCAGGGATTGTGACAGAGAGACCACAAAATAACCCTCAGTGATTCTGCCTCCTGATGTTCACAGCATTGTGTAATCCCCTCCCCTGAATGTGGGAGGGACCTGTCACTTGATGCTAAGAGAATATGGCAAATGTGATGGGATGTCACTCCCATGATGACTTCCTGTTATATAAGACAACTCTGTTTTGGCAGACTGGAGTCAGAGGCTCTCCTTGTGGGTTTGATGAGGTAAGTGCCATATTGGAGAAGGTCCAGTGGCAAAGAATCACGGGAAGCCTTTAGAACCTGAGGGCAGCTGACAGCCACCAAAACGTAGGGGACTTCAGTCATACATTCAGCCATACAGCCTCAAGGAAATGAATTCTGCCGACAACCTGAATGAGTTTGGAAGCCGATTCTTTCCAAGTCAAGCTTCTAGATGAAACCCAGCCTGGCTGACACCCCGGTTACTCGATTACAGCCTTGTGAGACTGTGAACAGGGGATCCAAGAAGCCCTGCTCGTAGAAATCATGAGATGATCAATGAGTTTTGTTTCAAGCCACTAAGTTTATGGTAATTTGTTATGCAGCAATAGAGAACAAACACAAAGAGGTTAAGTTTCTAATCCTAGACCCCACAGAAGCTGGGGGACAGGATATCTAAGCCAGGGCTGTTGACTCCTGAGTCCATGTTCCTCAGGGCCGTGCCCTGCCCTGCTGCTCCCAAGTGGGGCTTTCAAGACTGTTGTCCTCCAAGCCCGCACTCCAAAACGGGACTCAACTGATCTCCTCTAATCACTCAGACCAAAGGATCTTCACTGACCTGGATCACCAGTGGATCCCACTGTCTCTTCATGTATGCTGAGGCTGCCTAATGGAGCAACAACAATGTGGGTCCATCCTGGGTCCTATTTGGGCCCTGGAAGGACTTCCTGAAGACGTGGGCTCCCATGCACATTCCCTGAGCGCCATAGTGGGGTGGGATGTGTGGAGGCTCAGTTAGTTACTTGGTGAACTGGAGGGCAGCAGGCAAATTATAGCACTTTGCTTTCGATGATTATAATACCTATCAGCATCTATTGATCAGAATGACAGTCATCCAGTCGAGCTCCCAGAATTCTCTGGGAATATCCATTTATGAGAAGTAACTATGGCATTTACTTATGGTGCTGTGCACTTCTATTATTGTCTTGTGAAGGCAGCTGTAAACCACATGGATCAATTTGCTGCTACACTAAAGGCAGAATGTATCTAAGAGACAGACGAAGATATCTCTCGTATATCCAGGAGACAAAAAACTACAGTAGCTCACCCATCCAACATCACATCAGTAACTAGAACTTACAAATTTCTTCTTTACAATAAGCTTTCATGAAAATATTTTCCTTATTTCAATATATCCTCTGATAAAGGCGGATGGAAAAAATCAATACACAGGGATGCAAAAAGAAAAGCGAAATAAATATGTGTTACATTCTGTCAGGAGTCTCATCACAGTCGGAAGCAGTTAAAGAAGCAAACGTTAAAAATAAGTGCCTATTTTACGGCTTATTTGTTTACACATTCGTTAGTTTAACTCACGTTTGTCATATATCTACCAAGTTCAGAAGCTTACTATGTACCTAGAAAGAATACAAAAGAAATAGAAATATGGTCTCTGCTTCTAGAACCTTTCAACTCTGTGGATCTAAACCACATGGGCTAATTCAAGCACAGAGAGCCGCTGACACATGTCTGGCCATACATTTTGTCAGTACACATGGACAGAGAGAAAAGACTGGAAGCACATCACAGGGTTGACCGTGGCTATCTCTAGGTGGTGAGATTATATGTAATTTAAAAAATTATTTGCATTTCTTAAATAAATAGAAATAGCCCTTAAAAATGAAAATAACCATATACAGCTATTAAAGACCTTTCAAACCATTAGGTCTAACATTGACTAAACAGATCCACCAGATCCACCAAAGCAATGAGGTACATTCATTCTTCTTAGAGCAAAGAGCCATTTTGGGGAAAACCAATATTTATAGTCCCATATTCTTTTTTTAAAAAAATTATTGTTCTTGGGACTGGCCCCATGGCATAGTGGTTAAGTTTGGCCTGCTCCATTTTGGCGGCCTGGGTTTACAGGTTTGGATCCCAGGCACAGACCTACACCACTCATCAGCCATGCTGTGGAGGTGACCCACATATAGAGCAGAGGAAGACTGGCTCAGATGTTAGCTCAGGGCTAATCTTCTGCAGCGAAAAAATAAAATAAAAATTATGTCTTCTTAAAATTGAGTAATATCTCCAATAGTGCTTAAGTGTTCCTTCATTATCTTCCCCTCCATAGAAGTTGTCTTATTTTTTGTTTCTGTTTTTGCTTTGACTGAAATTTCAAAACTTTATAGCAGTGCATGTTCTGAAAAATCTGATTGTAACGCAACACCGTTGAACCCGTTTGTATGAGATGAGCCCCAGGAATCCTGGAGGAAGGGTTCCAGAGACTGGGAGTTGAGGGGACATCTGGCAGCAGAAATCAGCCACAGACTAGTGTACACATTACAGCCCCATTAGATACTAGGGAAGAAGCGGCAGTGTATTGAGCACAAACAAAAAATACTCCACAAATGACTTTCTCGGCTGCTTGTGTATGAAATAGCTGGAAGGGGATGTTCTTGCTGCAACACTCTCCAGATAAGTGGAAGGGGGCCTTTGATCTACCTTCCTGAGTGCTCTCCCCCACACTGTCACAGGCCACCAATGCTCATGCTGGACACTTCATCCAGGTCCAGCCTCTGGACAGCAGAGCTGCCTGCAATCACAGAGGGCTTTTTCACTATGGGTGCAGGTGGAGAAAGGTTGTATATATTGACTTTGCTAAGTTGAATTCTCTGTTCTTCAAATTAAATCTCTTGGCAAGTGGTGAAGCCCTGAGGGCTGAGTGTGTCATGCACAGTCCTGCAGCTGCACGCTCCATGGGGCAGGGGTCAGGTCTGTCTGAATCACCACCGCAGACCTGGCACCTCGCAGTGCCGAGCACATTCCAGGGGCTCAGTGGGCAGCTGGGAAATGATGCAATGAAGGAGTGAAGGAATACAAACTTTCCTCTAGTCGCTTTGGAAACCTTTCACCTGGATAATAACAGTAGCCCCCTAACTGATCTTATCCTTTCTACTTTTGTCCCTCTATAATCCGTTCTCACAAAAGCCAGAAAGATCTTTTCAAAGACAAATCAGGCTCTAAAATTAGATCATGGTGATGGTTGCAAAACGCTGTAAATACATTAAAAACCATTGACTTGTACACTTTAAATGGGTGAATCTTAGAGTATGTAAATTATATCTCAATAAGGCTGTTAAAAAAAATTCTTTCCCCTACTTAAAATCTTCCACTGATTCCCCCCATTTCACTCAGAACATTCACTTAGAATTCACCAGGTTACTGTGACCTGCAAAGTCTTACCTGTCCCATGGGCTCTGCCCACCTCTCCATCCTCATCTCCCATAAGCCACCACCTACCTCCCACCAGTCCCTGAATTGGCCTACCTCGTTCCCACCTTAAGGTCTGGCACCTGCTCCTAGCTTTGCCCACAATACTCTTCTTCATAATATTCTGAATGATGCCTCGTACCATTCAGGTCTCCCTACATTAGCCCATGCTATTGTCAATCACCACGCTAGAACTCCACAACCCCAACCACTTCCTCTCCTATTACTATATTTTTATAGCACTTCTCACTCGTTGAAAATTATCATTTTTTCTTTATTGTTTCCCCTACCCAAATATAAACTCAGTGAGGGTAGAGAATCTTGTGTTTACCTCTGAAGAACAGTGCCTGAGACACATAGTGGGTACTAACAGACACGTCAAATGTTGACTGCCCGGTTCCTACATAGACAGTTTATTCTGCCAAGACTGTCAGGAAAAAACTAATATCTACCTTAGTATATCTTTACAAGAAAAAAGAATTTAAAAATCTCATTGCTTTGGGATGATTTTTTATTTTTTACAAGGCATGGTAAAATTAGCAAGCTTCTATCTGGAAACTGCTGGTTTCCAAAGTTAGATTAATGTTACTACTCCACTTTATAAGATGTATTATAATGCTGCTAAAAGTTTCAAACATGCCCACTTTGGGGGTCGTGTGCGGTGGCAGGTCTCGCAGTCCAGACGTTACTAAATGGTATTTGCAGACTTACAAGCATGTGGATACTTAGGAAAACATCTAGACCATAGGAAGTGTTTCCTTGTGCTACTTTCCTTGATTGTTTAGAACTCTGAGAAAGTGAAGGCAATATTTGTAAAACATATACTTAATCAAGAAAAGTCTTCCTTTTCTAAACCCACAGGATGCCCGATACTGACTCTGTTCCAGTTCTATTTCTCAGAAATCTTTGCTAAATCTATCAAACTAATTTTCAAGAATTTCTCCTTAAGCTCTAAATACTTAGCATTCTCATCAAGACCCACACAGCTTCTTCAAAGCAATTCCAAAAACTAGTATTTCTACATAACTATCTAAGCTTTTAATCTCTAGCAACACTTCTTGGGCTGCTATTCCAGCTAATAAGATGATTAATAAATTTCAATGTGTAAATACTTTACAGGAAATTTAAGTTTTTTTCTTGAGAGTTCTGTTAATTACTTGGGATGAGGAAAAACCCTCAACCAGTTTCTCCACTACTCACAGGTTTTGTTACTGTTAACCAACCGTCATTTAAAAATGATGCAATAACTTAAGCAATTTACATTTTTTTGGCAAATCCTTCTTTCCCAGTCCCTACCCCTGCACACTCCACCTCCTCCCCACAGAAGATAACCATTTTACCGTCTATGAATGAAGAACAGGCTCCAGTTGCTTGCTCTAAGGACTTGTTTACTCTTTGCCTTTGAAACTGCGTAACTCCTATAGGTATCACTAGTCCAATAACTGATATTCATAAAGAACTGAGGGGCTACGAGATCTCAAACTGCCCTCTAAACCAAAGATTCAAAGATGGTCTGCAGTTTTTAGATGAAACATGATCAGATACTAATTGAAAGTTTGGAACATATATATCATAAAACTAACTCACTGTGTCACCATAATATGCATCTGAACTAAGTCATCTCCTGGTTCTGTCACGTGTGCCACACGCATAGAGATACAGACAGATCTGTTCAGTAACTCATGAGATGCAGAAGACAAACTAGAACTCCCATACTCTGCGAATGTAGTCATCACACAAGCACATGTGACCTAAATAAACTGACAATGATAATGTTCTCCCAGAATTACTTAACTCAGCATGCTGGTTAGTAAACTTTGGTTTGGGCACCACCTAATGGCAGAAGATGTTTTTGAAAAATCCTACTTTGCTTCCTGAGACTGATAATTTTTCTATTTTAGTGTATATTGATTTAGAAATGTCTGTTCTTCGTTGACCTATTTAAATACTTTTTTTAAAAAATATCTAGTTTTCTTAAAAAGATTAAGCCCTTCCCACACGTACTTTGGATTAATAAACTGCCTTCTACAGTACAGTGGGAAAACGTACCAACAAAATGAATACTCTAAAAAATTCTATTTCATTCTTAAATATCTAAATTTAGCCTTATAATTAAGAATCACATTTTAATTGAGTCATTTTAATTATTTAAGGGTTCTCAAAACTCTTCTGCACTGTAGGTCTTTAAAATAATCTGTCACAAATAAAATAGTTTATCTTTCTGAAAACATGGTGCTTATTAGATTTTAGTAATTTAACATATCTAATTAGCTGCTAAAACCAATTCTGAAGGCAAGAATGGTGATATACACACTTCTAAAACCATACACCTTTACTTTTTTTCCAGAAGTCCTTGCCTGAAGCTAATGTTTGTTTTGTTCTGTGATTCAACAAAGCTTAGGCAAAATATTTGGGATAATATAGAGCAAATAAGCAATGTTTTAAGAAAAGGTATTTATTATTTACCCCACTGCAATAGTCCCGTAAGAACAATATACACCATGTTTACTTGGAAGGACCAGATTCCTTTCAAACACAAGAACTGTATAACGCAATACTGTCAACACAAAACAGTGGTCACATCACACATCTGCAGGCATAAGCATTGCAAATAATTTTTTTTTTTAACCTTATGGCTAGATATTTTCACTGAAACACAGTGTTTGCACTTAGACAGGATAACAGCTGGAACAGAACAAAAACTTTGTGGTCATGCTTTTTAGGGCAGAACCAGTGATATGTTCCAATATATTGCCTTTAACTGCTTTATTGACAATGGTTTTAGGCAGAAGTGCTTCTACTTAGCCACCAAAAAGAAACAGACACTTGTTCCTTATTCTTCAGCCTCATGTTTTCTATTTCTCAAACTATGACATGTCTGTGTCATAGCTGACGTTTTCCAGTTTTACTCAAAGAACACTGACACACACAGAGACCAAACGGAGACAGCTCAGAAATTAAAGATGTAAATAGTGGAATAAGAAGAGAAATGTGTCTATGACAAAGGAATAAAAAAAACTTCTGGTGATTTTAAACATAGCAAACTAGGTTCCTCACTCAGAAACTTTTTTTTGGTTTTACAGGGAAGAGCAGTAGTTTCAAGATGGGTTTGAGATTTAGTCAAACAACAAAAAAATGAGACAAAGCCACAAGACGTAACTTGTTTCCAAAGTCAGAAAATGACACTGTTGAGTATACATTTTTGTCCATTTTCTTTTGTGTGTGGGAAAAAAACTCAGTACTCAATGGTGGAGAAAATACTTTTCAAGAGTAACAGCATATTCACACAGGGGAAAAAAAGGATAATTTTTTTTAGCATATTGCTATCATCTTCAAAAAATATAAAATTAAATTTACAAAAAACTGGAAGACCAAGTATAAGCAGTCTGGTATTTGCTTCAGTGTCCAGCACGATCTTAATGATTTCTAGCATAAAAGCAAGAAGTTCATGGATCTCAAGTATCTTGAATAACTGCCAGGATAACTTGTAATTACTGTCCTTGCTTCTTTGAGAGATACCTGCAAGAAATAAAATAGATATCTAAGCTGGATCATGCTAAATTCATGATAACAATCTCTCTTCCAAAAGGAGTTTATCTTAATAACAAAACTTTTCAGGATGAGTAATAATTGTTAATAGCTGACAGCTGTTAATTGTCTATGTGCCAAGCACTGTTCTAAGTACATTAATTAATTCATTTAGTCCTCATGACAGCCCTATGAAGAGTTGTCTATTAGAACTTAATCCTATTTTACAGGCACAAAGAGGCTAAGCCCAAGTTCACACGCCAAGAAAGCGGCAGGGCTCAGACTCAAAACGGGCTTTGGAGGCTGCACTCTGATACTGCCTTACCTCCAAATGGGAAAGGAATATATTAAATAATACTGTAATTTCCAAAAACATCTCAAACTTTATTTAAAGATATTATTTTCTTGCATAAAGACAGCGGGCCAAAGATGCTAAGGGACTGATCGAGAGTGTAAAGACGCAGAGATGTTAATTTACTAAGCAAACAAATTTTTCTTCATATTATTTTATAGGAATCTACCACTAAATTAAATTTTTATATCTCTATTTCTCACAGTTATGAATTGCTATACTCAGTGGTATGGGGTAGGAAAAGAGATCTTAAAATCAGAAAACCTGGACAAGTTTTGATGTTGCAAAACTTACTTTGTGGCACTGTAGCACTTGTTATCTCTCTGACTTAGTTACATCATCTACAATGTGGAGATGAAGATAAAAATGCCTGCCTTATCTTCCTAATAGAATTATGAGACTCTAATAAGAAGCTGTATGTCAGAGTGAGCTAAAAGCCGAAAGTGGAATTTAAAAAGCCAAAGTGTCGTAAGTACATAAACAGTTCCTTGTATTAGTGGAATCAGATCTTTAAAGATCTAATTCCAAAAAATTACTTGCAGCACCTAATAATTCTGCCTGCTTCTCCAGAGGTTTGTCCTCACCTCAAAATCATAATGTTTATATGCGGTCTACATGTAGATTTATGTATATGTTTGTGCTTAGAAGAAAGACTAGAAGACAATATACCAAGATGGTAATAGTGGTCCTCTCTGGAAAGGAAAGTCCTAAGTAACTGTTTTTCTAAAAGTTTGCTAATTTTTCTGCTACACAGAGAGGTTACTTGTAGAGTAATTTTTAACAGAAAAATTTTTAGTGTATTTTATTTTATCCTGACATTATTCTACAGTACAAGAACAGGGATTATGTTCCCAGATGATTCATAAAAGAGTGACCTACCGAATGTCGCAGAGTAATTTAAAGGTAGCATCACAAACACACCAGTCTCTCAAGTCGTTTCTACTAGAAGTATTAAAGATCTTAAGAGATGAGGGTTTATGAACAAGCTATGAAGTTAAGACGAAAGGGAAAAATACCTCCAGGGGAGAAGTCACTGGATTAGAAAATAGTTTTAGAATTTACCCATTTTAAATAAAAATTAAGAGTTACATGCATACAAGGGCTGCCAGACAGTCTTATCATTCATTAACGTAAAAAGGAAACGAATAAGCAATTAGCACTTACCTTTCCCAATATTTGTGATTTAGGTCCAAAAAGTCATCTAGTTTTGCTATTTCCTTGAGGTACTGAGTTAATTTTAAAAGTTCTTTGTCTTTATCTCGATTTAAGTGCGCTTTCATAAAAGGCCTTATCTATTAGGAAACAAACATTATCCAGCACTTAACATTGTAATAAGAAAACTGGTACAAATCTACACTATCCTATTATTTAAATGAGTTAACAAGATTAAAATATTACCAAGGATGTCAACACTAAAATTTATGTTTACGTTATCTTACTCTAATAAACTGACAGTCATAGTACAAACATTTATAGTACAGGTTAAGAGGTCTTCCACCTAATTCGCCTATGTTATCTTTCCAGCCTGAACCTAACACCAGCCTTCTTACAGTACTTGAACCCTACGTGGCTTCTCTACTTTGCAAAACTGCTTAGACTTTTCTCCCTTCTATCAATCCAGTTGCTTCTTACTAATTAATTTCATTCACATCATTTCATTCATAAAAAGTTAACCCAAATACAAACTTGATCCAACAGAGGAGTGAGATAAATTTTAACACTGATGATTTCCATTTCAGTATTTTTCTACGAAATTTTTATATAGCTACGATATTGTATATTTACATATCCTGTTTTCTCTCACAAGCATTTTTCTTTATAATTAAAGTCTCCATAAAAATATTTCTTTAATTACACAAGAGTTTTCCCACAAACAGAATAGTCATATTTTCCAAATTTTTAAGGTCGATATAGTTTATGACAAAAAGCATTCATTTCAAAAGCATAAAAGGCAGGACGGTAGACAGGGTGAAGGACTGTAATTAGCAAGGGGTACTGTATCTTGACTTGGGTGGTAGTTATATGTCATCTTTATAACAATTTGTTAAACTATAAATTTTATGCACTTTTCTTTATGTTACAGTTGCAATAAAGAGTTTTGCTTTTCTAAAGACATCAACTCAAATATCTTTATGCAACTCAAGATAGCCTTTCAAAAATTTTTAATTAATTTTAGATGTAAATGATATGTCTGGGATTTGCTTCAAAATATCACAGAGAAGGAAGCAGGTAGGGTACAGAGTAAACATAATCATCCATGAATTAATAAATTGTTTAAGCTGGATGCACACAGGAGGGTTCAATACACAATTCAATGTAGTTCTGTTTATATTTGGATTTTTCCATTCTAAAAACTATTTTTAAAAAATCACCCATAATCCTGAAAAACACATGTAAGGACTGAATAAATGGTACTTGGTAAAGTATTAACATATCCTTACTGTGGTTTGGAGAAAATGCAAACTAATCATTAGTTATTAAATTTACAGAGTAACACTGAAAAACAGATGACATTTAATCATTGTCACCTGATGAGTACAATGAGTCCAAAGGAGTCCACACTGTAAATGTTTTCTTTTTTTTTTGAGGAAGATTAGCCCTGAGCTAACATCTGCCACCAATCCTCGTCTTTTTTTACCCCCCGAGGAAGACTGGCCCTAAGCGAACACCTGTACCCATCTTCCTCTACTTTAATATGTGGGATGCCTGCCATGGCATGGCTTGATAAGTGGTGCATAGGTCCACACTCAGGATCTAAACCAGCAAACCCTGGGACACAGAGGCAGCACGAACTTAACCACTACGCCACCAGGACAGCCCTGTAAATATTTTTTTTATACACTTTTCTTCTCTCTCATTGGAAAAACACACCACTAGCTTGAAATGGTCAGAAGAAAATTTTCCTATATGTTCTACTCGCATCAGAATAGCTTGGTGCCAGGGACCTTCACAGCTGTTAGTCAGCTGGGCTCCCACAACTCTAAGGCACGGATAAGAACTGTCAGTGGGTCTGCACAAAAGCAAGCACTTGCAGGAGATGCTACTTCCAAACAGGTAGTGCAGGCAGTGCTCTTTCACGCAGTGGCAGTGAATGAGGGATCAAGCAGATCCTCTGCAGGGCCTTGTTTAAGCCCTGGGGCTGGAAGCAAATAGGCAGGATACTGTGATGTAGTGAAATGAGTTTCTGCATAAACGCGGGCAACACTGTAATGTTTTAAAGTGTTCCCTCATTCAGCTAAAGACTGTAAAGGGAACATATTAACTTTTAAATTATTAATATACAATGCACCAAAGTGATTCCAAGTTTAAAAGCAGGAAGGGATTTAGACTGAAAAACAAAGTACAGAGTCAGTGGCTAGTAAGTAAGATTTTCAACCCAAGGCCCTGCCAGGTTACTTTTACCTTCTAAACATTTGGTCTTAAGCACTATTAAACAACAAAACTAAATACCCCAATGATTCTGGATCTAATAGTTAAAATAACCTAATTAAGTGGAAAAAAACTATTATTCACCTAATAGACTTCACTTGTTCCAGTATAATAACTGCCTACTAGACCATTCTTCAAAACGGATCTACGTGCTCACGAGCAGGGCAGGCAACATACACGACCACTGTTGTCTCATATCAAAGAAACACCTTAGGAACTTAAAATGGTCTAGATTATCTGCATTCTCTTACGTCATCATTTCCTTGTATAGATAATAAAAATGAAGTTTTCAGAGTATCAACTGATTTATCCATGACCAAAACCCAAGTTCTTTCAGCTCACTCCTAGATTCATAATTCACACTGCCTTCCATATTTCATTTCAAATCTTCAGATCAGCAAGTTTACAAGCTTATTATTATTAATATTATCATTAGAAGTTAAAACTTAAAAATAAGCAGTCTTATCTTTAAGATTTCTGTGAACTCTCTTGAGATTCCTACCAAGAGCATTACGAGACCGTGATTAAAAAAAAAAACACATGTAAGAATATTTCTCAATTTCAAAACTGCGTCTACATCAATGTGGGCAGATCATTAATAGCCACCTTCTTAAGAAAGGCTTTCAAACGGAGACATGCGAGAGATCATCTGTGAAATGCTTAAAAATACCTCTCCTAAATTAGAACTTTCGGGGGTGGAGACACATATTTTTAGGAAATCCTTCAGTGATTCTGCTGCATACCTCAGTCAAAAAAAAAAAAAAAAATCCTTCTGTAAAGTAACAATGAATAACTAGAAATTTATAATATCATCTCTCTGCATCCAGAGATGAGTAGGGCTCAAATGTTAGCTGGGAAAATAGTTTCTTCTAAATACACATGAAACTAATGATTATACATATATATTTTCAAGTTAAACCTCTCCTCAAAAATCATTCCTCGCATATCATGACTTCAGCTCCTTTCCAGTACAGGGAATACCATTAGTTTCACAGAGAATTCAGCTGAGATCTACTGAATCTTTTCTCAAGACTGAAGAACCTACTTCTGTACCTTATGCCTGGTAAACACCACACAGGAAAAGCACTGCTTCCAAAGTCTCAAACAGAAACCATTTTTAAAGGGTAACAAAACCACCAATCTACCCCAAGTTCTTTTCTTCCAAGTCAACAGCTTTTATATTTGTGGCAAGTCACTACCTAGATTAGCCTTCTGTCCCTAAACTACCCTGACTGTGCATCAAAGACTACCATCAGCAGTCTGCAAGGAATGCTTCAGAAATGTACTTCCTTCAAGTTTTCCTCTTACCTTTTAAAGTTATCAAGAATCCAGCTTGTGGAAAAGTTCAGGACTAAGAAGAAAACTAGCTTAGTGTCAGGATTTCCACTTCAGATGGACACTGCATTTGCATGCTACCATAATATGGAGCTATCTTTTCCATGTTCATGTTGTACTGACACATAGGCAACCACAGGCACCAGAAATTTTAAGTTTCAAATTTCTCTCTTACCAATTTTATACTGATACCAGGATTAAATGTCACTATCATGCCTACACAAGATTGCATGTGACTTCATGCTAAGATCCTCACCGGCCTAGGAATAAAGTCACTTAGATTCTAACTCACATTCTGTCATTAACCAATTACATACATCATCTTGGGCAAGTCATGAACTTTCTGATCCTCAGATTGTTTCTATAAAGTTAAGAAGGTAGACAAACAACTGAGATTCCTTCTAGCTCTGGCATCTATAATTCTAAGATCTCTACTTACCCTGAGTGAAATTTTCAAATACCTTTTCTTAGTTTCAGTTAAAAAGAAAAGACCAAAAAAAAACCCTGATGCCAGTTTTCCAGCTCATCAGAACATCAGAAATTCCAAGATTTGCATCCCTAATAAAACGTGTGATGCTTTCACTTACGAATGCTACACATCAACCTTAGTAAGCCCACGTCGCTCCACAGAGCTAAGAGGAGAATACCTGAATGAGCTGGCTAACCAAGGAGACAGCAATGCGAAACAGAAAATGTTCAATTTTATATGAATTTTTCTAAATACTTAAGCTTTTCTTGCCTTTGACCATAAGAATGGAGTACTTTAAAAAATTTATGAAATTCAAGAGTGCTAAAGTTCTACCACTTATTCCAGATTATGTGAGCATGGCAAGTAAAGTTATGTCTTACCTTTAGTCCATTCTGTGGGTTCATCAGAAAATTTCTTCCTATGTCATCAAACATAATGGTGTTTTTTTTGCTGTAAAATTCCGAAAACTTTCCCCATATAACACCAAGGGGCTTTACCTTAGAATAAAAGTTCAGAGTTAACTCAAATTTTAATAATTCATCCTTTCTTGAAAGCAGAGATACTGCAAAAGACCCTGCAGATATGCCAGAGTATTTCTTTCCTCCTGTAAGACAGTTAATGGCTGGCTGTGTGAACAGACCAGAACTGAGATGCAACACACTTTTAAGCACAGTGATATCCTGAAATGTTAACTTTTGAAAGGTCTGTTCATATCTAACTGAACTAAACCTATTATAAGACTCTCCATAATTACAATATGAAGATTTGGCGTCAAAGGAAGAATAATTATTTAATTCAAAAAGTAAGAATCTAAAACAATTGTTCAGATGTCTGCTGAGCAGTCGCATGACTTCCTGGCCTAATGCATACTCCCTCAGAGCTTGAGCGTCACCATGAGGTCGGTTTTCAAAGCTACAAAACCTTAGTGATGGACAATATACCTGTCTCTTTTAATACAGAATTTAAATATTTTGTTGAGGAAAAACTGATTTTGTCTTTAAAGCAGTGGCACAGGTGCACAATTTCTAGGGCATCTGATTGCTTAACTTCAACAGCACTGTAATTTGTAAATTCTTGCTTTCATTTCTGAATTCTTAAAATGGGCCTTCAAAAAAGATAATTCCTAATATATTCCTATCTGTTGGTACTCGCATAAAGTCTCCATAAGACCACACAAGAACAGTGATTGCCCGTAGGAGGGAGAGTAAGAGGCTGGAGGGAGCAGGTGGGAGGAAGACTTTTCATTGCGTACTTTATTTTCATTTTTTAATCATGTGAATGTATTTTACACATTCTGAAAATTTTTTCAAATAAATTAACTTCTAGAAGAAAAGTACTTTTTGCTGAAGGCAGGAGTCTCATTTATGGTAGTATGAAATTATATGGTAATAAGAGATTAAATGGCAGTAAATAATTGGTGATAAAGGTTATCATTTTCCTTTTTTTTTTTGAGGAATATTAGCCCTGGCTAACATCTGCCGCCAATCCTCCTCTTTTTGCTGAGGAAGTATGTCCCTGAGCTAACATCCGTGCCTGTCTTCCTCTACTTTTTATATGTGGGATGCCTACCACAGCATGGCTTGCCAAGAGGTGCCATGTCCGCACCCGGGATCCGAACCAGACAACCCCAGGCTGCTGAAGTGGAATGTGCACACTTAACTGCTGCACCACCGGGCCAGCCCCAAGGTTATCACTTAAAAATGTTTTCTTTTTCTCTTTATATAATTTATTTTAATATGAAGAAAGCCTTTTTCCTTCTTAGTGTCCTAGCTACTGCAAAGAATATTATTAAAGTATTTTAATTTTATTATTTAGAATATTTGATGTGCCTGAATTTGCTTTCACTATTTGTTTACGACTGAAACAAATCCCCCAAAATACTTGAAGACAAATATATAGGAGCTGACACAGTCAGCCATGTTCTTGGTTTTTTAGCTAACAAAAGCCTAAAGAAATATGGCAAGACCTTTATTTTATGACACCCAAGGTGAGAAATCCAACATCCTCTTAAAATAGTGCTGTCTGGGGCTGGCCCCGTGGCCGAGTGGTTAAGTTCGCGCGCTCCGCTGCAGGCAGCCCAGTGTTGCATTGGTTCGAATCCTGGGTGCGGACGTGGCACTGCTCATCAAACCACGCTGAGGCACCATCCCACATGCCACAACTAGAAGGACTCACAACGAAGAATATACAACTATGTACTGGGGGGCTTTGGGGAGAAAAAGGAAAAAATAAAATCTTTAAAAAGAAAAAAATAGTGCTGTCATTTTCTGGTTAGGTCAAGTGCCATTTGTCCCCAAAACATGGACTACTTTGCTCTCAATTAGAGAAGTAAACACGCTGACTGTAGGAAAAAATTTGAAAACACAGACAAGGTCAAAGGAAAATTTTTAATAAACCTATAATCCAGTCAGTACCAAGGATAATAACTAGATATTCTGATCTATTTACCTCCAGTCTTTTTTATAAACAGAAGCAGCCTCAGAGAGTTCACAGATCTTTCGTTAAGGGGAACTCTGAACGAAAGGTTAAGAACTATCTTCTAACAGTTTGCAAACACTGTTCTCTAAAACACTTCTTTCACTTTAATGATGTATCGTGAAAAAATTTTAAATCACTAAAACACCACATCAAATGATTGGCTGCATTCCATTATGTGGATGAACTAAAATTTTTATATCCAATTCCCTACGGTTGGATATTAAGGATTTATTTTTATTCCTCTAACTGTTCACTATTAGAAACAGTACTACATTTAACATTTCCCAAACTTCTTTGCAGTGTTTCGGATTCTGTAAATGTACTACTTCAGTAGGTCATAAATTATATTTTTCCCTTGATGTATGCAGATTTCCTTTACTGAACAAATCCCATGCATTTAAACAATGCTTGTTTTTAAAGACTGGCACCTGAGCTAACAACTGTTGCCAATATTTTTTTTTTAATTCTCCCCAAAGCCCCCCAGTACATAGTTGTATATTCTAGCTGTGAGTGCCTCTGGTTGTGCTATGTGGGACGCCACCTCAGCGTGGCCTGACAAGTGGTGCCATGTCCACACCCAGGATCCAAACCAGTGAAACCCCGGGCCACTGAAGCGGAGCACGCCAACTTAACCTCTCAGCCACGGGGCCAGCCCAACAATGGCTATTTATGATTTTGAAAATTTCAGTAGTCTTCCTTAAGCTTTCCCAGTTTGCTAAATTCTCCCCAATTCCTATTAGTCTGTGAGCTTCCAAAAGTATGGACATCTCCTCATCTCCAACAGTGCCTGTCTCAGGGCCTTGCAGATAGCAGGAGCTCAACAATATGACTAGTTCCTTGACAAGCAAACAACGTGAGGAACCCTAACCTTTTCAGCCCAACCCTTTCTCTGATGGTCCTTCTTGCTCTTCTCTAGGGCTACTACGCACATGTCACCCCCAAGTACACGCATCATAGTGCATCTGACTTTATTTATCAGTTTCACACAGGGCAGGGCAAGTACATTTTGATTTGTTTCTAGTATCCTCCTTTATGATATTCAGTATTTTTTCTCACCTACTCTGTCTTTAGCAACACTATGCTGCCATCATCACGGGACAATTATCCATTACCCTTCTTGACAGCGCTGCCTCAAGATCCCTAATTTCATCCAATCTGTTAAGCTTGAATACATCTTCCTATGTCAAACTCAACCGACACTTTACTATCCACTCAGATGTATTCTAAACTCTTTATGTAGTTTATTCCATCAATATAAATACAGAAAGTACACTAGAAAATAAACAAGTCTTTAAATACAAGAAAAATGACTTCTTACATCTATTAATCCTCTCCTCGGAGTATGCACTGTTATCATAGCAGCACTGTCCAACATGAAGGTAATCTTATAATTTGCATTTGTGCTCACTCCCAGCTCCTATAAATACAAATATTCATGTGATTAAAATATAATAATGTGGAAAATTCCAGGCTTTCTGAATATTCCAGCTACAATTTCCCATACTGCCAACTTTTTACCCAAAATGGCCACCACATCTTGCTCATCAACTAGCAAGTTTTTTAATTTCATTTTGCTAAGTCAGTAAATGGTAATCCAAGGAAAAGTGAGCCAGAGACAGGTTCCTTCTAAATTTACTATTTTAGAAGAGCATCACTCCTTTAAGTATTATACATCAGAGCAAAGAAAGTATTATTGCAAATGGAGGAAAACAGGAGGGGGAGCTTTGCTATACTTTTTCTTGAAAGACTTACGTACTCAATATAATCCACCATTAAACAGACTTTAAACACACGTCTACTCCTGATACCGGTACTTGTTTATCTACTAAATGCCCTCCAATGAGAATGAAATTAATTCCATTTGGAATTTCTAAAAGGAGAAATGCAATTTGAAAACATTCTTTAATGGATTGTCTAGCACTTACTTTCATTTTAGCTTCAATCCACTTCATATTTGTTGCAGCTAAAACATGAGGAATGATAATACAATACAAATGAAAAGCTTGAATTTCATTTAAAAAAATCTTTCTTCTGTATATAAATAAGTCAGTTAAGTTTTCTAAGCAAAACTAAAAGTTCAAATGCATCATAGATAATAATTCCTAGCATATTTATGGTAACTTTCAAGTATGTACAAAACTAAACTTATTTTAGTGTGCCTTCAAGACAGAATAAAATTTAAACAACTTTTATTTAAAAGATATAGGTAACCAATGATCCAAAGAACTTTGAACCTAGGAAATTTATAAATCAAGACCTAAAACTCCTATTTAAAAACAGCCCAACACTATTCTGTATCAATTCCAAACTTAAATTTAGGGTGCCTGGATCTCCATTTTATCCTATGCTCCTACCGCCAGGCAACGCACAGGTATGTACGTCAATATAAGCAGACTAATGTTATGTGTCAAGTTAACGCTGAGGGATTAAGAGGTCCAGACTCCCAGTTATAAAATAAATAAGTCACGGGGAATATAGTCCATAATATTGTAATACCTTCGCATGGTGACAGATGGTTACTAGACTTGTCATGGTGATCATTTTGTAATGTGCATAAATGTTGAACCACTACGTTAGGCACCTGAAACTAATATTGTATGTCAACTACACTTCAATTTAGAAAATAATAAATAAAAAGAAAACTCTTATTCCTAAAAAAAAAAAGTTAGTGATGAAGAATGCTAGGTCCAATGAAAATTAGCATTTTGCTAGGCTCAGGAAACTTAGCCCTCATTGAATCTAGCAGCTTTTAACAAGGGGTCTGAGTCAGCTAAATTCATAAACTGTGTCTATGCTATTGGCTGCTCATTGCCAGACATGAACCAGTTTGGAGGTCACTGATATTAAAATTCAACCCTCAGTTTTATGTACCCTCCTGGTCCTAAGTTACTAGACTAAACTATACAGGTATTACCAAGTAAAATGTTTATCAAGGGAAAATAAGTTCAATTACTTAAAGTGTGTGTATGTATTTTTTAAAGGTAAAAGAGGTACCTGAGTTCTCAAAATAAAAATCTTTAGCACACACACACAAAAACCAAAAGCAGCACCTTACATGCAGAACTGGTTAGTGGTACTAAAATTTTAGAGATGGATGTATCTACAATGACGATCACAAGATAGGGAAAACAATTTTTTAAATTCAGTCTCTAACTGGGGTCAATAATTCCCAGACAAAAAACAACAACACTCACAGCTAATAAAAAGTTTTCAGTTATTATTATATAGTATTCAATTCTTGTATGTCAGACATGGTACTAGTTACTGTACTGTTATCTTTACTTTACAACTGCCCTATAATATAGGTTTCTTATCTTCTCTCAGATGAGGAAGCTAAGGCTCAGAGAGATTAACTGACCTGCCCACTGTCACACAGTAAGGACAAAGCCAGAATTGAAACTCTAGCCTATTTAGCTCCAAAGTGAAGTGCTTTCTTCAACATAATACCACGAAATATCATAATTTACAAAACTAACTTATTTTAAACGTAAGACTATAAAAGGTTCTGTAAGTTTCTCAGTCTACTTTAATAACATTTAAAGGATAAACTTTTTTCTCAGATGTCATCTCAGATGTCAGAGTTGCTGAACAAGAATTGGTTCAAAGGAAGCTTTCTTCTCTGCATCTTACAAACCAGAAAACTGTGTATTTAACTATGTATTTAATCTTAATGGCTGTGGACTCATTAACACTGAACAATCGAGATACTCCGATTATAAAGAAAAGTACAAAGGAAATTTACTGACTGTAATAACCACGTGGCCTCTCATCAAAAACCTAGTACAAATAAATTGTAGCATCTGTAACTGATGGGCTTTTATTTAACTCACAATCAGGGTGGCTATTCTCTGCTTATGACTTGCCAAGAGGCAACTTTACATGTTTGTAAGGAAGTGAGAGATAAATCAATACACTGCTTCCATTTTCAAGAAAGTCTTGCCACAAAAAAATGTCAATTGAACTAAACAGTGTGCTCAGTAATGCAGTAAATCTACTTTGTGGAGCAAACTCATTATCTTGTCACAGACCTTCAAGTTCCTGGAATGGTCTCCAGAGACCAAAATTTGAGTAACATTGCTTTAGCCCGTTTACTAATTTTCCTTAAGTGAATTCATATTCCTTTATATCTGAAGAACTAAATCACTGTGATTTTTTTATACATTTCTTTCTCCAAGTGTCTTGAAGCTAGAGTGATAAAGAAAGAAGAAAGCCACAATATCCTGAAGCATCAAAGATTCTACAGTAAAGATCAGAAAGGAGAGTTCCTAATCAAGGTGGGGTCTTGTGAAAATAAGACTATTTTTATTCTGACACCATCATCTACTCTCTTCCTATATTGAACTATTTCAGTGCCACTTGGCAAATTTATGTATAAGTTTATATTGTGATGCAAGAAAATCAAATACGCTTCATCAGAAATTTGTTAAAACAAATGAAAAATGTATCATGTTTATACACAGGTCCTTTTAAGTCACATTGTAGAAAGCAGAAAAATATAAGGAACTGCCTTACTTCCATGGAAATCTAACAAAAAATATAGCTTACACCAAATAACAATGTCATAATCCTCATATGCAGACGTTAGGAATTCATGAAGATACGGCCGCATTAATTCTACTCCAGTCTCTGCACAAGACCTATGGTCTAAAAGAAAATCAGTCATAGATGATTATTAGTTTATTATTGTATAGACAAGTACCTACTATCAACGAAACTTACGAAATGTAATATAAACACTCAAAAGCAAACCACTTTACACGGAATTACATTGGCTGACAAAAAGATATCTTGCAAAGCACACAATTTAATATCCTTATGATCCCATCTTAATTGATCAATTTTGTTCAATTTCTGAAGACCAATATCTAGAATTCAGGATTATATAGTAAACTGTAAATTTTTTTCTTACGTGGTCTCTAAAGTATAGATGTTACTTTATGATATGAAAAACAAACTAGGGCCATCAATACTCGTTTTCAGTCATTCACCTTCCAGATAAAGTCACCAGAATGACAGGTCTAATTAACTTAACAATCCAATTTTTAAATTAGTAAGTGAGTAAGTACATTAACGGATAACATGCAAAGTTCAGGATTAGAGGTAGATAAATTCATTCTAGCATCAGGAGTTAACTAATCATTTCCTGGCAATATGAGAGGATAAAACGAATCTTTCTTTTTTTCTTGACATGAGAAATTTTAAATTCAAGAATCTGCCCCAAACATAATTAAACAGAAAACCAGGATAAAACATCAAAAATGATTTTAAATAATCCTCATAAAAACTTAAACATTAATCAAAAAGGAATGACTTGATTAAATTATGATGCATCCATAAACTAGATTACTGTGACAAAAATATATATATAATTTACAATGAATAATATTAAGTGGCTGAGAAGATGCTCAATATATCATTAATAAAAGTAAAAACCACATACATACAAACACACCCTGGCAGATACACAGCAAAACCTAACAGTGGTCATCTTTGCGTCTCGGGATTACAGATGACTTTTTTTTTTTTGCTTATCTGTATTTTCCACAATAAATTATTTCATTTTGTAATGACAAGAAAAGCTTTCAAATATTTTATATTGCAGGGAAAAAATAAACAAACAAAAGGAAAAAAAGTTCTTGTGGGTAAGAGGAGATGAAGCACACTCTCAGCTGACTTACCAAATAACGTATAGTCGACATCTAGTACCAAAAGCTTTTTCCCTTCCCGGGGAGGATTCAAAATTTCCACTTTGTACTCTTTCACTCTGCGAGAAATTTTCAGTAGGTTTTCTTCCCTAGTGGAAAAATAAAGTCAGATGAAACATTCACTTTTCTCACATTACAATTTCCTTTGAGAGTGAAAAGCACTTACCTATTTTCTACTTCAACTACTTCATCTTCAATATCAAAGTCGTTGACAACATCATCATTGTCTGGAGGTGGACCTAAGACATCTTCCTATTAAGATGAAAAATAGTTTGTTTTACCACATTATCTTCAACATAACAAATACACACACAACATAAAGAGCAAATCAGAGGTAAGACCTGAGCTCAAGAGTCTTTCAAGCACACACTGTGGGAAATTTTCCACATTTTATATTTCGTTATATACATTCAACTGGGCATATTCACCATGTCAAATTTGACCACTTGCACTATTACTATACTTATGACTAACTAGATAACTAACAAGTTCCCCAGTATTTGTCTCCTGCTGAGCTAATACCACATTCACTGTGCAGCTTTCCTTTTAAATTAGCTGCTAAACTGACAATTTTACCACAATTAAAACTATGATACAACAGTGTGATATAAATCATAATATCTTCAAAGGGACAAATGGTAACAAAAGTAAACATTTACCAAGCTCTCCTCACGAGTTCCCATCATCATGATTTTAGTATTTGGTTTCAGTTTGAGAGCTCCAAGCTTAACATCATTTTCTGCAGGTTTGCCTACAATACAAGCAAATGACTGTTTTCTCACTAAAGTTCAGGTGCTGGTTTCACTATTCCATTATACAAAACCCTAACATGAAAAGGTTTGGTACAGAGTCCACAGCAGTTTTTTTTTCTTAAATTAACAAATGTTACTGCTGAAATAGCCATGTCTATGTCTAACACACTAAATAGTAGCAACTAATACAAGGTTTGTTTTTTCCCCAACTCCATCTTAGAGGATCACCTGTATTCAACTAACTAAACAAAATAAATTCATGTTTTATCTTGTTGTTCACGATGAAGAACTTGATGAAGATAATTACTTTCCAGGGGGTCTTGAAAACTGAGCACATAAGATAAAAGTGTAGATTTACTGATATTCGAAACTCACTCTTCAATGAGAGGACCAAGAAAAACACCCAGGAAAGTCCATTTCGGACCGGATATGAACACTGCTTATAATTTTTAAATCAGCATTGTAAATCATCATCACTTTCAAAACAGAAAAGATAACTTAGGGAGAGTTCAAGGCCGAAGTTGTAATGGAAAAACTGTGCTAGAAGGTAGACGTTGGGAATTACACTGTTGTACCTGGGATTTCTGTGCCAAAGGTTTAACAAGCAACCAAGGTAAAGTGGAACCAAAGGTAATCTTAACAGTGGTGGTATTTTCAAGTAACTTTTAATATTCTTACTTTTATCATAAAACAATTTTAGGAATATCCCTATCAAAGAAATCTCCAAGGAGAAAGACTTATTAAAGAGAACAGATAACAGCTAATATAAAAATTCCTAAATATATCAATGCAAAAATTTGAAGTGAGGCGAGAATTACCTTTAACTTTGAGTCCAAGCAACTTTTGGCGTTCAGGTAGCACTCCTGTAAGGGTCTTGAGAAACTGTTTGAGATCTAGCACGGTATCATCTTCTGAAAGCGTGGTCACTGAATATTCCTGTCCGCCCCATTTTACAATGATAGGGAGAGCCATCCTTGAAACATATGATGAGTCAGCTTTCGTTCAGCAAAAAGATACCTAGAAGGAAAGGCATATACCATAAACAAGTTAAAATAGATATATCAAACATGTAGCCAGGGGCCAGCCCAATGGCACAGCAGTTAAGTCTGCATGTTCCACTTTGGCGGCCCAGGGTTCACGGGTTCGGATCCCAGGTGCGGACATGGCACCGCTTGGCCAAAGCCATGCTGTGGTAGGCGTCCCACATATAAAGTAGAGGAAGATGGGATGGATATTAGCTCAGGGCCAGTCTTCCTCAGCAAAAAGAGGAGGATTGGCAGCAGATGTTAGCTCAGGGCTAATCTTCCTCAAAAAAAAAGAGGTAGCCAAACCTGTAACTTTAAGTTTCATAAGCTGTGCAGTTTGAGTCCTATTTTACAACTTGATGGTAGAGATCTTCTCCTTATAGAAGTGCTACCGGGGGCCGGCCCCGTGGCCGAGTGGTTAAGATCACGCGCTTCACTTCGGCGACCCAGGGCTTTGCTGGTTCAGATCCTGAGTGCGGACATGGCACCGCTCATCAGGCCATGCTGAGGCAGCGTCCCACATAGCACAACCAGAAGGATCTACAACTAGAATATACAACTATGTACTGGGAGGCAATGGGGAGAAGAAGAAAAAAAAAGATGACTAGCAATAAGACATTAGCTCAGGGTCAATTTTCTTTTTAAAAAAAAGAAAGAAAGAATTGCTAGCAGAATGCCCAAAGTTCTTAGGACTCCAAGTTAAAATTTCCCCACCCTCCCTTGGCTTAGAGTTACTACTTCCTAATACTCTATCAGACTCTCCCTGTCCAGCTGGAAAGCTGCAATAGTGAACTACCTAACCCTCCCTCTCTGTTGATCAGGTTTATGCTGCAGGCAAGCTCCTCCATCATGGACCATCCACATTCACCTAACGTTTGAGAAGGTGGTACAGTCTGCTGCTAAAAGCACAAACTCTAGAGCCAGCTATCCGGGCTCACATCCCAGCTCTCTCACCTACTGGCTGACTTTGGGAAGTTACTTGACTCTTAGTGCCTCGGTTTCCTCATCTGTAAAATAAGGATGATACTACTACCTACTTCTTAGGGTTCTTATGAGGATCGAATTAGTTAATATTTATAAGTCACATAGTACCTGGCACATAGTAAGCACTATATAAGTAAGCATTGGTTAAATAAAGTTTTTGAAAAACTAGAACTGAAATTTCTGGGCATGGGGCTAAATAAATAGTAAATAGCCATTATTCCATATTTAATAAACTGGACAGTTTTTACACAGACAAATCTCATTTAACAAGGTTTTTTGATAACTTTCCGTCTTTTACAACTAAAGAAACGAGAATTCAGAGAGGTTATGTAAGCTGCTCGTGGAAACACAGCTGGTAACAGAACAGGTTTTCTGACAAAATCTCACATTTCTTCTCCTATACTTCTCTTCCCCAACCACCTCTCTTGAATTGGACCTACAGGAGTTAAGGCATCAAAGATCAGTAAATACAAAACTCACAGGCACAGATATAAGCCCACAAAGATTATATAACAGTTGCTACTCTCATCAACAATAGCATGTAGGTCTCTTCCCTCATAAAGCTTTATACCAGCTTCCCTACGTTTGTTCCCCGCAGTCAGAGAACTGAATTTTCTAATCTCAAAATAGTAGTATTTCAAAATGCTGTCACTTTATTTTACGAAGCATTTGACTGCACTCTTCCTGTATTACAACCAACTGCAAGAGAGAAGGCAATTTTGAATCTGAATATGCAAAACTTAAGGTGTCTTCAACATGCTAGCTACAGGAGAGCACCATAAATTCACTTACATTTACTCTCTTATGTTTACAACCTGCTCTCCTAAAACCTTAAAGAAAGTGTTTTGAGGCTGGCCCGGTGGTGCAGTGCTTGAGTTTGCACGTTGCACTTCGGTGGCCCGGGGTTCACCAGTTCGGATCCCAGGTGCAGACCTACGCACCACTTGTCAAGCCACGCTGTGGCAGGCATCCCACATATAAAGTAGAGGAAGATGGGCACAGATGTTAGCTCAGGGCCAGCCTTCCTCAACAAAAAGAGGAGGATTGGTGGCAGATGTTAGCTCAGGGCTAATCTGCCTCAAAAAAAAGTATGGTGTCTAGACCCACCAACAGCACTGACCCCACTTGGTAACTTGTTAAAAACGTAACTGGGGCTAGAAAGAAGGGATCTAGCAATTAGTGTTTTAAAAATCCCTATCCCCACCTCCCCCCCACCACCCAGGCATGCCAAAGTTAGGCTCTTCAATTTCCTCAGCCTTAAAAAAGAAAATGTGCCAGGTGGCAGGGGCTCTGCGCTTAGCAAAGCAGTATACAAACGTTATGTACCACCGATGCCACAACACGTGGGAATTCCAAGCTGGCAATCGCTCTAAAGGACCAAGTAAAACAAAACAAAGACCATAAGAATTTTAAATGCATACGTCCTTAAAACTGTTTTGAAAAGTTACTGAACCTCATTTCTTCAATATTCAGATCATTCACAGTGGAGCAACGCAATGCAAACGCATGAGTCATTTATGTCTTCACATTTAAACTTCTTTCTCACACAATATTTTGTATCATTCTGGACCCCATTAGATTTATAAACCAAAAAATAATTTGGGAGGGAGAGGGTGGCTATCAAACCCAAACAAGTAAGCTAGGAGCACACCTTTATGTTGAACCCAGAGGCAAGAATGGCTGTTTGGGTTTGCTCGTCTGCCTAACATACTGCCTGGTCAAGTCCTCACTTCCCACCTCAAGATGAGGCTATTAACATTTACTTGACAGGAACAGTGTTAAGACGTGAGACAACAACCGTGACAGCACTTTGTAAACTGCAAACAGCAATAGGAACGATGGTAAAGACAGAATAACGGTACCATGCTAAACAACGTAACTGAATCGTCTCATTGACTATTCACAATCCTGAACTAACAACTACTGTCTTCATTATACAGATTAGAAAACTGAAAAAGAAGGAAAACAGCTTGCCCAAGATCTCACAACTAAAAAAGTAGCAAAGGTGGAAATCTGAAAGTCATAGCGGTAAAAGTTAACACCTCGGGAACTCAGGGGAGAGGGTAACTTTTCACCAAGCCTAGGAAAGGTAACGGGGAACTCCTGTCCTCCTGGGCAGGACAGCACGGCGCGGCCACCGCCAGGCAGTGCGGAGGCGACAGCTGGGGGAAGTGACTGCTAGGGACAGCACAGAAGGCAGGAAGAGACCCCCAACCCAACAGGGCCGGATGCCATCAACAGGGAGGGTGAAAGGGCGAGATGGTCAAACCCCACCAAAGAGAGGAACGAAGTTTGGGGACGCAAAACCCACTGGGGCGCGGCAAGCCCTCGACCTGGGCGAGCAGGCCGGATGGGAGGGCGGCGGCCCCTGCGACGGGCGGGCAGGGGCCAGAGGCCTGGGCGGCAGACTGAGGCCGACGCGCCCGGGCGCCCACAAGCAGCCCCCAACCCGCCGCGGCCGGCCACCGGAGGGCAATGCTGCGGCGACCCGGCCCCAACGGCGCCTCGGCGGGCAGCGCGCCGGGGTGCTGGCGTCCCCTCACCTTAAGCGCGGCGGAACCGGCGGCAGCGGACGCAAGGACCGGCCGAAGCGGAACGGAAGGCGACCGGAAGTGAAGGCGGGGACCGGAACCGGTAACGAACCGGATGTTAGGGTTTGAAACGGAAAGGCGCTGGAGACTGCACTGCTGCTTCCTTGGTTTCTCTTCGGGTAGTATTCCTAGATGGCCGCTGCCGGGGATCTCCTCACCACGGGGAGGAAGCCAGGCCTTTCCGTGACTGTGACCACCGTGCAAACTCCTACAACCCCAGGATGGCTGCCGGGCCGCCCCTGTTCTGCGCATGCGCCCGCTAGTGGGCTCTGAGTGGGCGGGGGCTTTAGGGTATGACGTCTCTGGTATTGTTTCACCGGAGTTGAGAGTGGGTCCGCGGCGGTGCACTGGATTTTCCAGGTGCGCTGAGCTCTTCGTGGGACTCGGGACTAGGACTCATGTGGCTTTGTCATGTTCTAAATGAGGCCTGAAAGGCGACTTTTGAGGACTGAAGACTCGAGACCCCTTCCTGGCACCAGGGGTCACCAACCCTAGGAATTTCAGGCGCTTACAGTTCTACCCATTTTACGCAATTCAAGGGGGAAACTGAGGATCTTCAGGAAAGGGAACGGGAAAGCCTAAGTGACTCAGAACCAAGGAAGCAGATCTCAATATGCGAGCTGCCATTGAGATTACTATAGTATTGTATTGAATTGTATCTTCACCCGGCCATCCCCGCCTGCATTCCATTTTCTCTCCGATGCAAGGAAAGCCTGTTACAAACCGTGGCAAAAGAATTCCAGACTTTAATGGAAATTCTGAGCAGTCCCTATCTGGTCCATACAACGAACTTCTAGATTGCATCACTTGCTATTAGACACCAGCTTCTTGTATATGGCGGCAAACAAAACTTAGGTTTTTGAAAAGGAAGGGAACACAAACATCATTTTGGCCCCAAATATGACCAATCCTTGAATTACTTGTATTTTTCCTTCTGCTTGACATCGATGTAACTGACTCTTGTTTCTCTTTTGGCTGTGATGGACGAGCCAAGTTTTATGTCTTAACAGTTTTTTAGTTAATACACGTTATTTTATGTTCTCCTTCCCTGTCTCTTTTGGTAATTTTTATTGCACTAGTAATGCATGAATATCTGCTCATTTTAAAAAATGTAATCTATTTTCAGTAAAAAGTTGCTCTCTTTCCTGCAAATAAAAGAGGAAGGGAAAATCTAAAATTAAAAGAATTTGTTCAAGAATCACACATTAGCCATCCAGCCAAAGACACAGTCAAAAGATAAGGAACTGGACTCCAGAATGAATTATAGTTTTCTTTCAACCCAATCTCTTCCTTGCTTTGTTCACGTGCTAACCAGCTGCTTGGCCACTTTATATTTTTTGCTGTTGTCATTAGAGAAGCTTGTTTTTGTTAATAAAGGTCAACTAAAGCATTTTTTAGGCTTCACTAATTCTAAGCAACAAGATTCATAAGGAGCTGCTTCTTTTTAATAATGGAATAGCCAGTGTGTGAAGAATACGATAAGTTTGATATTACTACAGGGTAGATGATTTAATAATTGCCAAGTGTTGAGCAGTAGTATTTCTCAGAGAATGATAGTAGCAGAGTATTTTGCACAAATGACCCATTTAACAGAGGATTTTAAGTTATCTTTTGCCCCTATCTCAGTTCCTTCAAGTCCATATCGATTTAGCTAAACCTTCATGAAATCAAAAATAATGTTAAGAAGATACTTGGAGTGGATTGAAAAATACCATTTGAATAAAGGAACTAGACTTGGTAACTAGGAATGAACACAAAGTGGACCTAAGAAAGGGCTCACAGCAGCTCGTGACTGCCAGTAAGAGAGAAAAATTAAACTTCTCCCTCCTGTTGTTCACTAGGCCTTTCTTCTAACACATGGAGGATAATATACCTGTGCCTCACTCGTGCTTCTCTGCAGCAACTGAAGATGCCTGAGAATTCCTCCATCGGGTTTCGATAGGTTGTCAGGTCTGAAAGACTAAAAGAAATCTTGAACCACTTTCACAGAATCAGATGCTGATCTCACTGTTACCAGGCCTGGACTGGAAGACAAAGGACACTCCTGCACTCCTGGCCACAAATCCACCACCACCCTGCTTTTATCTCCATCTTTCCGTGACCTGTTTACTTCCTTCTCTTTTCTCTCTTAGGCCATTTTCTTCCTCTCCTCCCAGTTGAAAAAACAACCCGCTTTATTTGGTTTTAAATTTAGTTCACCATAGCACTTTGTGTCCCTCTTCTAATATCTGTTCCCTCGCCTTTTTCCTGACTGCAATCAGTGAGCCAAAAATGGTTAGAATGTGCCCCATAGGACAGACTCTACAGGCCCTTAACTCAGCCTGGCAAGTTTACTACCTGTCGCTATTCAACTTTCTTTCCCTAACGACTACTTAAAACCTCTACTGTCTTCAAACTTGAGACCTTCCAATTTACATCCTTGCTCTTGGCAGATGACATTGTCTCATATTTTGCCAAGAAAATAGATCTCAAAGAGGAATTGCCTCCAATTCAGATCTCTAAATCTGCAAACTAAGTTATATCTGCATTCATCTTTGCTTCCTTTGCTTCTGTTTCAATGTGACAATTTCCTTCTACCTGAAGCCAACCCTTATACTTGTGCTCTGGCTACTTCCTTCTTGGGAACGTTTCTATAAATCCAGTATCCCTCTCTCTGGCTCTTTCTCTCTACTGGTTCATTTCCATCAATGATAAACATGCCATGGTATCTTGCCATCATAACTGCTATCCTTTCCTTTCACAGTTGGGTATTTCAAAGCATTGTTTACATTTGTCTAAACTTGACACAATCTGTAATTGTGTCTTTCTCTCAGAAAATTTGTTTAGTGACAGTCTGTCACTATACTGTAAGCTTTGTGAGGAAACAGACCGTGCCTGATTTATTCACCATTATATTCTTAGAGCCTAACATGATGTTGGCTAAAGCTGGTGCTTCATAAATATTTGCTGAATAGATGAGTAACAAATTAGAATACCAAGAAATGAGAGCCAATATAAATACCAATATAATACACAATACCAACGTAATAATAATGCAAATACAATAGATATATTATACATATAGTAATACGTATCAGTGAATGATTATAATTTGTGTATGACTCTGGATGCACAGGGAAGTTCTGAAATACACACCAAAATGTTAATAGTTCCTGGCACCCCATAGGATGCACTCAGTAAGTACTTGTTAAATGAATGAAATTATCTCTTGATGGCATCATAGAGCAGGTAATTTTCATCCTGTTTATATTATTCTGTGTTTGAATTTTTTACAATAATTTTACATACTTTTTTATTTAAATTAATGAAGGCATTTCTAAAATTCAAATAATATAGCCTTACCACTGTTAATTTTTATGTCTATCCTTACAAATCTTTTCTATACTTTAGATACATATACATATGTATATATAGTTTACTTGTGATATTTTAAAATTATAGATTTGCAGGAGGTTGCAAAAAGAGAGATCACGTGTACCCTTCACCCAATTTTTTCTAATGATTTCATCTTATATAATGATGGTACAACATCAAAACCGGGACATTGACATTGGTACAATGTGTGTGTGTATAGTTCTATGACATTTTATTACATGTAGATTCATGTAACTACCACTACAATCAAGATATGGAACTCTTCCACCACCGCTAAGGTATCACCTTATACTCACACCTACCCCCGTTTCTCTCACCATTCCTAACCCTTGGCAACTAATCTGTTTTCCATCTCTGATTTTGTCATTTCCAGAATGTTATATAAATGGAGTCATATGGTATATGCCTCTTGAGATTGGCCTTTTGCACTCAGCATAAGGCCCTTGAAATCTGTTGAAGCTGTTGTGTGTGTGAATAGTCCATTCCCTTTTATGGCTGAGTATGATTCCCTGGTATGGATTTACCACAATTTGCCTAACCTTTCACCTACTGCATATTTTGGTTGTTCCAGTTTTTGGCTTTTACAAATAAAATAGACATTTTGTGTGTAAAGTAATTTTTGATATGTGAAGGCCACTTTATTGTTTTCTGTTTGTTCTTTCTGTTTTTCGTTTGTCTATTTTCTTTTTCCTATCTTTCTGTTAGTTACTTGAACATGATTTTAGAATTCCGTTTTGTTTTGTCTGTAGAGTTTTCGAGTGTATCTCTGTATAAATTTTTTACTGGTTTCTGTAGATGTTAGATTATATGTGCATAACTTATCACAGTCTACTGGTGATGGCATTTTACGAGGTCGAGTGAAGCATAAAAACGTTACCTCCGTGTAAGTTCCTTTACTCTCCCATTTATAATTGTCTTAAGTGTTTCCTCTATATACATTGAAAACCACATCAAACAATGTTATAATTTTTGCTTCAATAATCAAAGCTAATTTAGAAAATTCAAGGAGAAGGAAAGTCTATTGTATTTACCCATATTTTTACTCTTTCAGTTTTCTTTCTTCTTCTTAAGATCCTAAGATTCCTTTTATCATTTCCTTTTTGTTTAGAGAAATTCTTTTAGCCGTTCTCTTAGGATAAGTCTGTTTGTGACAAATGCTTTCAGGCTTCCTTCATTTCAGAATGTCATGACTTCCCCTTCATTACTAAAGGGTATTTTCTTTTTTTTTTTTTTTTTTAAAGATTTTATTTTTTTCCTTTTTCTCCCCAAAGTCCCCCCGTACATAGTTGTATATTCTTCGTTGTGGGTCCTTCCAGTTGTGGCATGTGGGACGCTGCCTCAGCGTGGTTTGATGAGCAGTACCATGTCCGCGCCCAGGATTCGAACCAACGAAACACTGGGCCGCCTGCAGCGGAGCGCGCGAACTTAACCACTCAGCCACGGGGCCAGCCCCACTAAAGGGTATTTTCACTGGATATGGAAACTGGATTGACAGTTCTTTTCTTTTGACGCTGAAAAATGTGCCACTTCTTTCTGGCCTCCATAATTTCAGAGGAGAAATCTCCTATCATTCGATTTGTTTTTCCTGCGATTTATAAGCTGCTGTTTCTTTTTCCTTTCAGGATTTTTTCTTTGCCTTTAGTTTTCAGAAATTTCACTCTAATGTGTCTTGGTGGAGATTTATTTAGGTTTATTCTGTTGAGGTTCGTTCAGCTTCTGTAATCTGTAGATTTATGTCTTTTGCCAAATTTGGGAAATTTTCAGATATTACTTTTTTAATTCTTTTTTGGGTCTGCCCTCTTTCTTCTCTCCTTCTGGGACTTTGATAGCACAAATATTAGATCTTTTAGTATAACCCAGGAGTCCCTGAGACTCTCTTAATT